ATATATATATGTATGTATAACCGTGCAAACCGATGAAGCCTCCATGAACATGTACTCATACACAAAATATCCAGGACTTGTCTACAAGCCTCTAGAGATAACTGAACTGTACCATGGTCAGGATAGGGCCTCGACCTACCCATCAAACCCACATATATAAAATGGACTCCAAAGTCGAGACCTAGTAACTCCAAGGAAGTGGAGCTTACCAACAAAGCTGATGTTTGACTCTGTCTGCTGGGAGGGTGTGTCCGAGTCTTAATCAGGACCTGCAGGCAAGAAATGTAGCGTCCCTGGCAAAAGGGATGTCAGTACGAAATAATGTACTGAGTATAGTAAGTAAAATAGGTGTCTGACCCTATAAGGCTCGGTATGTGTAACTGTTCTGTTATAGTAGGCTCGCTCATAGGTGCTCGACCATACTAGGCTCTATATCTCGGTCGTACTAGGCTCGCTCATAGAACCTCGGCCACTGTAGGCTGGGTATATAACTTACCATCTGATCAATGGTTGCCCAATAGGGGCCTGTCCATCGGTTATTACTCAATGGTGGTGAAAATATTGTAATCCTCTGTGTGTGTAAGTGTGTGTGTGTGTGTCTATATATATATATATATATATATATATATATATATATATATATATATATATATATATATATATATACTCACTGCTCTCTTGGCTGAAAGAAGACAATAATAGAGAATATGAAGTCCCGATAAGGGTGAATATGATAACTTATGAGACTAGGATAATGTATGTAACTTCAGAAATATGAACTTCTCTTTATGTCTCGTTATCAAATACATGTAATTACGGGATCATGTCAAAATGAAGGGAAGATTTAGACTTAACATACCTTAACCTTATTGAGTCCTTAATAGCTACCAAGAAACTCTTCAAACAACACAACTCAGTCTACCCACTACTAGAAATTAGACCTATGGTGACGATTCCAAAACCGTTGCGGCAGGAATCACAACCGTTGTCGTAGAGGTATTGCGACGGTTTTGCGGCCGCTACAACAGGTATCGTCGCAATAGAGCTATGGAGACGTTTTTGTGTAACAGTTTCATAACCAATGCATAAGATGGTCTATTGCAACGGTTATTCTATGAATGATATTGCGACGATTCTTTACTCTATATAACGGTTAAAAGCCGTTGCAATAGAGTTCATTATCAACTATTGTTCAGGCTATTGCTACAGTTATTTTATAATATTGCAGCGGTTACTTAATGTTAATGCGTCGATTATGTTATACTATTGCAACGGTCACTTTTGGCTTATGCGATTGGGGCTCATGCTATTGCAATGGTTATAATGATATATTGCGACGATTATTTTCTGGGCTACTGCAATGCCTATCATATCTCTATTGCAACAGTTATACAAACCAACAATGTAACATACCTTGAAATATATATACTTTATGAGAAAAATTCATTTTAAACAAAATCAGAATCCATAATAGGTGTAATATCCATAAAAGCAAAATATTTAACAATATCTGCCAGTGAATTGGAACACATGAGTTTCCAAAGTGATACAAAAATAAAATATTTCTAGTTTCACATGAATCAACCTGATACTCCTAAGTAAGATCTTCATCACTTTGGTCGCCTACTTCAAGTTCTCAACCTACAAGTAATCAAAAAACAAACAATTTAGTAAAAGTTCTATAAAAGGATTTCATTTAAAGATATGTATATTAATGTGATGACACATGGTAAGATTAACAAATTGACAAATACACAAGGCCAAACCCATATGCGGCCCCTCTAACTTGGCGCCAAAATTCATATGGACACCTCAACTTAGCTATGTTTCATTTAAACACTCCAACTATGCTTCAACTGTTCCACTTAAACACAATTTTGACAACTCTAAGCAAGGCTAAGTGCGTGAATGCCACTTGCCACTGAAATAAAAATTAAAACCACTAATAAAAAGACAAGTCAGCAAAAGAAAAAAAACGACAATGGAAGAAGAATCATTTCTTTTTTCTATTTTCTTGCTTTCTATCTCTTTTACAATTTTTTTGCTTAATCCATCTATCATATTATCATACATTTTCATGGCCCTGCTGCAAAAGTCCATCACTGATAGCCAGACCCATTTCTCACTTCTCCCCAAGAATGCCCCCACCTAAACATGTGGAATAAAAATCCAGATCTGAATTGAAATTCAAGAACAAAATTGTCCATAGAAACTCCACTAACCACAAACTATCTCTAGGTCATAATCAACTAACCCATATCTATGAAATTCAAGAACAATTCAAGTGGGAATGAAAACACAATAAGATAACCTCCAAATTCTTCAATTCGAAATTTAAAGCTTCGAACTCGAGTGGGTGTTTATAGAGCTTTTAGCGCCAAGTTTGAGGAGGGCGCATATGGGTTTGTCCAATACACAATCTCATACTTACCAACAACAACAACATACCCGGTATATCCATTATAAAAATATGATTAAACCTATCAAACCCTTCTCTAGTTCTGATACACTTCAGCCATTGACTCAATTCAATGCTTAAATGCAATGCTCAAATGCAGTAAAAACTAAAAACCAATGCATTAAAAACTAAAAACCAATAATTTAGTACATACAATTTTCATGGAACTCAATATCCAATTTTACTTTCTTTGTTTCCTACTATATTTTATTCCTCTGCTACAAGCTCAAAATTTACAAACTTACATAGTACAATTACATCCCCATGCAACAACAAGAACCTCTTTTAGTTCTAAGCTTCACATTAACAACATTTAAACCAGCTTTAGAAACAGCAAATTGCAGGAATAACAGAAAATTCCAATGTCAACATCATTTAACCAGCATAAGAAACCAGCAAAGACAACATTAGTTTCTGCGACCAGTAAACCAAGAAAACACCAGAAAAGCCTGGTTATAAACCAGAATTCACAATTAGAACTAGAAATTTAACATTAACAAAAAAAACCAGTGACATCCTACAAGTGAGGAAAATGAAACCAACAATGTATGAACCGGAGAAAATAGATGGAAGAAAGTAATAGCAATAGCGATAGCAATAGCAACAAGAAGTAACAATGACAAGGTACTAGAAAACCGATGCGGAAGAAAATATGAAAACATCCATAATACTAGCAATCTAAGAACAACAATTAAATTCTTATGGCTCTTTACAAATCCAATGTTGGACTGGTTTCACCTATAATAGTCTAATAAACCTTGTCATACCATGTCAACTATCAATATATGCACATAAGTGGGAAAGAAGTTGAACAAACAGAAAAGAAAATGACAGACAAAAGTCATCAGCAGCATTGCATTCAAATTGACTTCTCTAGCAGCAAGAATACTAAACTACACCCCTCAAGAATAGCAACAAGTATATGATACAATATGACTACACTTCAGAACATAAAAGGTGACATAGCGCAACATTAAATAATGAAGTACATATACCTCAACTACCCAAAAAACATTCTGTTGATCTAAGGAACCACATAAAATCCATAACCCACATCTTTAATCAAGAAAATGACAGATCAAGCAGTTTCTACTACAAAAAATACATGAACAAGAAGCAGATTCTTTTGCAAAAGATACATGAACGGAAGTCAACACAGGCAGAAACAAATTCGCCAGCATTTTGGGTAGAAACTGGAAAAATTGGGCAGAATTTTTCTAAAAAAAAAATTCGCCAGCATGTCGGCGCTTTTTGGACGTTTAGAAGAAAAATTGGGCAGATTATTCTATAAAAATTTCCCAACATTTCGGCGCTTTTTGGACGTTTAGAAAGAAAAAGAAAAAGAAGAAGAAGAAGAAGAAGAAGAAGAAGAATAATCAACAACAATCTAGACTCCAATATGAAAAACTCAAACCGTAGTAAAACTCAATACATATATTAACAAATATCAGCATCTCTAAAATTGCTAAAATATAAATTTTATCCTGTGAATAAAGTGATGCTAACCTTGATTGTTGCTACCTGTTGATCCTCGACGGATCAGTTGATTAGCAGCTTGTGGTGCAGAGGTAGCTTCTCCTAGTGACGAAACAAACAATGTTGCTAGTATGTTTTGATTAATTAATCCTACACGCTGAAGTTGAGCAATTACATTTGCAGTAATTTCTTGTCGCATAGTTCTCTTTTGTTCCTCCATTAGTTACTCCATCTTTCGAATCCTTTCTTGCATTTCTTGCACTGTATCATTTGTGGCATTTGAAGTCAGCATGAAATGGCTCACTTTTCCTTTCAAAGTAGTCTTTGTAACCCCCCGTCCATATAATCTTAAACTTCCTGGATGTTCAGGACCAATGATAGATGAAAATGCATCAACAGACTGACTGCCATCTACACTTTGTTGTGTTTCAATTTTTTCCATTTCAACCTAACAAAGCAAATTCAACAAAAGAATTAAAGTAAATAAAAAATAAGGAAGAAGAATAAATACAATGATCTCATCTAAAACTTGCATATAGATAATATTCATACAATTTTACTAGTTGTATTTTCGTCTGAGTCCTTGTACACATGCCCAGGTTTTCTTGCTCTTGTGGCCACAAACATCTCCTTAAGTGATACAGGTTCCTTTGTTTTTTCCTAGTCGCACAAAAATGGATATAAGAGATCTATAAAAAATATAATAGATATAATAATAAATAATAGTACACACCAATTTATTACGGATTACAGCAAAATTTGTTTTGCCAGCAGTGTGTGGATCCGTCAACTTTTTTTGATTCTCCTTGTTGATTTCGGATGATCTCTGCAAATAAAATGAATTAATACAATACAATAAACCAAAATAGAACAACATTATTTGCAACAACTTGATAGATGCACAGAACAAATCTGTAGAGTTATAGCTCAGCTACTTGTGAGTTATTTGCAACAACTTGTGTTCTCTAAGCTAGCAAAGAATGAAGGAGAGCAATTGACAAGATTCGCTATATCAGAGTATGCTGGGATATACAAACTGTAGAGTTATTGCTATATGCTTCAGCGACTAAACTTGTTGGGATACTTTTCGTTGAACTTGATAACCAATCTATGAAGTTCTTATTTCAAACTCTTCCTAATCTTGAGAGTATTCCAAGCAAAAAATATTATCGCGATCTTTGGATACTTATGAATTTGAGTAATAAGTGTCGTGAAGACGACCACAACATTTGCAACAGGAGCATTGAAGATGTATCCACGTTCACAATTAATTACTTAAGACTCCACAAAATCCGCACAGTTTCCTATGTTGAAGGCCGTTGCAGATATCTTGAACATATCAGAATTAGAGTGGAATCTAATGGAGAAACCTACAAGCTAAGTGAATTCTCCATTTTAAGAGTTTCCCCACCAATTAGAATTTGATAACTGACATGCTCATAAAGTAGAATGCACTAGCAACTATATCAGAAGAACCATGACATGCACAAATGCACAGCACCATGAGATGCACTTCAAAGGCCCTTAAATCATGCCAGAAGAACCATGAGATGCACAAATATGCACTAGAAACTATATCAGAAGAACCATGAGATGCACAGAACCATGAGATGCACTTCAAAGGCCCTGAAATCATGTCAGAAGAATCATAAGATGCACAGATATGCACTAGCAACCATATAATGCAACATATATAAAATTATTAATCCCAAGATTGTGGTATAAAATTATACTGATTGTAACTATTGTGAAGATCATGGTTTATATTTACCTGTAGTTTATCAGAACTCCAATATTTCAGGAGCTCTTTAAACTGATATTCTGGTATATAATCGGGCCTTTTTGTCATTCGAATTTCATCATTTTGATTGGCATCATAATGATCTTTCTTTAGTTGACTTTTATGCCTTCTCCAAGCATTTCCAATTGAAAATAAAGTCCATGTTTTTGCAGCATCAGGAATATCATACTTCAACTACAATTTGATTTCATTTGATTAGCAGAAATTGTAACATACTTTTAACAAATAACTGAACATTTGGATCGGAACTTCAAACCTTGGTATATATCCATAAATCGTCTTTTGTGTCCATTTTTCTCCAATCCAATATATCCATTGGGCAAACCGTTGCAGTCCTTGCCAATGTACCGAGGAAGCTACCAAACTCTCTTACATCTTCATTAGTAGGACCAATGGGCTGATTCAAATTGTTAAGTGTGATCACCTTACGCGTCTTTCGGCCATGGACACTACGCATTTGTGTCCTGCCTCATTTTTTTTGGAGTTACAGGACCAGAAGCTACAACAAAATACAAAAAATCAGAGGTGATGGATGAACTCAGTAAGATTCTAAGATATGTAGACTTAACTTGTTCTTCAGATCGTTCATTAGCTGTAGGAGTGGTAGAATCTATTTGCATCTGCACATCTACAATATGCCCCTCTACATGTCGTTCATTTGCTTCAGATCGTTCTCCTATTGTTGGTTGTTGTTAAATTAATTTTAGCAGATGCTCTTTCTCTTACCGTATAGCTTGAACTGTTTCTTTTGTTGTCAATGACATTCTCTTTTTTTTTTGCCAAACATGATAAACTTCCAGCTTGAACATATGACGGGTTTTTTCCTTTTTTATTTTTTCTTGAAGACCCTTCTTGACCCATGACATCTAAATCTGTGTAAGTCTAAGAAAATTAGACAATCAGATTAGACAATGGAACATAACAAAGAAAAAAAGGAAGAAAAGGCATGAAAGAGAAATTTTGTGCCACTTACTTGAAAGAGAAACTTTATGCAACTTACTTGAATCTACAATCAATAACAATTGCTGGTATAAAACCTGTAAAATTGAAGCAATTCAATATAGAGCTGTAAGGAAAAAACAAATGCAAAAAGTCTAAAAGCATACAAACAAGAAAAACAATCACATAATATTTCTAAAAAATGGCATTATTACTCACTAAAAAACAATGACGACTATATATTTAAAGAAGTTCAGAAGATCATTTATCAATCATCAGCCTCCATCCAATCCCAATCAGTATCATCATACCCATCTCCTATTCCGATGTTTCCATAGTTGTATCTTGTGATTGAGAAGGCATATCAATGATATCAGCAGGTATATCTTCTCCTGACCATCTGGCATCCACGTCGAGTAATATATTTGATGAACCAATATCATCATTAGGCTCTCTCCAAAAAGTTTCTCCAATGTTAGGACAATTATCTTCTTCCAAATCATACAAATCAACAGGGACTTTATTTCTTGCATAATAAACATCTTTGTCAATTGGATCCTCCACATAAAAAACTTGTTGTACTTGAGATGCTAGTACAAAAGGGTCATCCATACTGCATTTTTTGTTGAATTACACCCGCGTTAATCCATATCCATCAATTTCATTATGAAATCAATCACATCTAAATAGTACAACACTAAAACAGTCCCAATAATCAATTTTAATTATATCTTGAATAGCTCCATAGTAGATAACCGTTCCATCGATGGGATTTTGGTCCCTAGCACTAGCAAAACTATCTGTTGTTGCTGACAAAGTCACTCCATTATTTTGAGTCTTGCATGGAGCATCTCGTTCCATTGTATGAAATCGATATCCATTAATGAAATAGGCAGTATATCTTTTAGCCACTGTGTTAGGCCCTTTAGCTAGCCATCTTAAATGATTGGGCACTTCAACATTTTTAACTTTCTCTCTAAGCCAATTTTCGAATTCTCGACTATGAATTGGTGCTTTTAGCCATGCATTTCCTTTAGTATGATTGTCAATGAAATTCTTATGTTCCCTGTAAGTATAAATATAAAATTTAATCATTAGACCATAGGAGATAAAGTTTAAAATATCTAATCATGAAAAAAATGAAGTTTAAAGTTTAAACTACAAATGACAGTTATATATTTTATCTTACTTGATAAGTGTCTCAACTTGTTCATCTCCAGTATTGAACAAAACATATCGATGTGCTTCAGACCATAACTGTAAATCCATGTCAAAAGTCTTGCCTTTCCTTTTCTTTTTACTTCCGATTGGATGGCCTATATTAGGAAATATAGGTGAAGAATTATTGCCCTCTATTTGAATGCCTTCATCATCCTCAGTTTGATAGCCACTGAATCTTGTCTTCACCTCATCATGTAAGTATCTCGAACAAAAGTTCAAGCACTCTTCGGCCAAAAATCCCTCTGCTATAGATGCTTCGGGATGAGTTCGATTACGGACAAATGCTTTGTACTTACACAGGTTTCTCTCCAAGGGATACATCCAACGCAAATGAGTCGGACCACCAAGCTTAATTTCATTTACTAAATGGATAGGCAAATGTGTCATTATATCAAAAAAGGTTGGCGGGAAAATTGTTTCAAGCTCACATGCTATATCTATAATTTCAGACTGCATTGTATCAACATCCCTTTGCCTTATAACCTTACTACATATGGTTCTAAAATAATTACCCAACCTAATCAAGGCCAAAGAGACATCCTTGGGTAACACCTTTATAACCGCAACTTGGAGCATGTAATGCATTATGAAATGAGCATCATGACTCTTGTATCGTGATATATTCATCTCATCCACTTGCACTCGATGTGATATATTAGAGGCACGCCCTTTTGGTAATTTGGCATTTTTTAGGACAGTGCAAAATAATCTTTTCTCTTCCGATTTCATGGAGTAACAAGCTTTAGCCAGATGAACTTTTCCATTTTCATCATCTTTTAATGGTTGAAGCTCCTTGCGTATTCCCATTTCTTCCAATTCATAGCGAGAATTTACATGATCCTTGGACTTTCTAGGTATATCCAACAAAGTCCCAAGCAAACTATCACATATGTTCTTCTCTATATGCATCATGTCAAGATTGTGCCTCAATTTATTATGTGCCCAATATGGCAATTCAAAAAAGATGGATCTTTTCTTCCACGGACCGTCATTATGTCGAGGCCTTTTCTTTTGGCCTTTACCAAAGACATTATTGAATTCACGTAGTTCTTCAAGCACTTCTACCCCCGATAAGGGAGTAGGCATGGCTTTATGCTCCTCTTTACCGTTAAATGATTTCTTATCTTTCCAAAATGGATGATCATGTGGTAAAAATGCTCGATGCCCCATGTAACACATCTTATGACTATGTTTGAGATATTGAGTGAAAGTATCATAATTACAAGTGGGGCATGCTCATCTCCCCTTGGTGCTCCATCCAGAAAGCATTGATAATGCTGGAAAATCACTAACTGTCCACAATAAGGCTGCACGCATTACAAATGTTGGTTAGTTTCAGCATTATATGTTTCTACTCCCATTTCCCATAGCTCCTTCAACTCAGCAATTAGTGGTTGTAGGTACACATCTATATCCTTTCCTAGAGATGATGGACCTGGAATGATCATTGACAACATTATATACTCTGGCTTCATGCAAATTCATGGTGATAAATTATAGTTCATTAACATGACTGGCCATGTACTATGAGAAATGCTCATGGTTCGAAATGGGTTAAAACCATCGCTTGAAAGACCCGATCTAACATTACGAGGATCTTTAGAGAAGTCGTGGTGCAACAAGTCAAAATCCTTCCAAGCTTCCCCTTTAGCAGGATGCCTTATATTGCCATCTTTGGGTCGTTCGATAGCAAGCCATCTCATAGCTACAGCTGTTTCAGGACACATGAATATCCTCTGAAGCCTAGGCTTTAAAGGAAAGTATCTTAAAACCTTTGCAGCGACTTTGGTATTCCTATTAGTCAAGCCACCACGCACATTCTTCCATCTAGAAGATCCACACATAGAGCAATTATCTGCCTTCTCATTCTCATTCCAAAATAACATGCAATCGTTAGGGCATGCATGTATTTTCTCATAATGTAGACCCAAATCTTTTATCACATTTTTTTCCTTGTGAAAAGACTCGGGTAACTTAGCAAATGGAAATGCCTCTTTTATAAAGTCAAACAAGTCTGAAAATGCCACATTACTCAACCCATGAATGCATTTAAACAAGAACAACCGAATAGTGAAATCCAGTTTAGAGAAATTTTCACACCCTGGATATAACTCTTGTTTTCCTTCCTCCACTAATTTAAAAAATCTCTTTGCATCTTCAGATGGTCCCTCTCTCACTCCTTCATGGTTCAAGTCACGTTCTACATTTCTAAAAGTATCATGAAGCAGACCATCAATATCGTCATGCATATCAGAACCATCATCATCATTGGTTGGATGTGGCAAATCTTTTGAGGAAAACCCTTCTCGGTGAAAACCCATTTGGTGTATCCATGTGTAAACCCATAAGCAACTAAGTGATCCTCCACCACATTTCTATAATGCCAATAACGATTAAAGAACTTTTTACAGGGGCATAATATTTCATTTCCTTGGGAAGATCGTTCAAACGCTTTATCAAGAAAATCATTCACACCACGAATATACTCATCAGTGGATCTTCGGAGACCCATCCAACTTTTATCTACATTACTCATTTGTCCTATGAGACACAAAAGTAAATCAACAATTAGTAATCCATGTTCCAATAAGCTGCAATTGTAGTATTCATGGTTACACTAACGTGGACTAACGAACAAACTCATGTTTCAGTGGGTATGTATAAGCTACCACAATTAACATATGGATGGCATTTAATATGTTACAGCATAAGGGATGCGATGATACTGATGCCCAGCAGAGTCACAAGAAAGAATACTCAAACTACTGGATTTGGCTCAGAATTTTGTGTAAAAAGCCTACTTTGAAACACGTAATCTCAATGCAGTACTCTTATTTGATATTCCAAACGAGTAACTATACACAGAGTTCAAAGGAAATAATAAAGAAAGCACAAGACAATCGACATCAAATCCACATGCTGCTGCAGTGCTGAACAGGACATTTGACATGGCAATCTTGGTAATATTTTTTGGAAACAATTGATTCCAACTGACAATATTTTTTTTGGAAACAATTGAATAGAGCAAGAACACAAATATGGGCAGTAGTTGCTTTCAAATTTAGGAGCAGAATGGAGTATTGGTTTTCATGCAACTATGACTGGGAGATTATATTTAATACTGGAAATGATAATGATGCAGTATGATAAATCCCACGTCAACAACACAAGGACAGTAACTGTGATAAAACAAAAAAGAGGCTGTGTACCCAATTATCATATTAGGACTATAGTCGAGTTTTTAGCTAAAATTGTCCCTTATCTTTGGGTATAGGTCTAACTTTGTCCTTTATATATCACCTTGAACACTAATCGTCCTTTAACTTTACTAAAGTTGAGCACTTTTAGTCTATTTAACAGAATATCAAATAGAAACTTTAAAAACTAAAGGTTGGTTTCACTGAGACCTTGATAAAGTGAACATTTAGTCCTCATATTCTGCAGAACCACATCTAGTGAACCATATTTTTCAGAACTAATGAATTCTTTTATGTCATTGTGCTTTACAAATTTTAGATGCGATGTTAGATGATTTTTCTAAGGTTAATTAGTGTATTCTACCGTCACAAGCAATTCCAGAGTATATATACAACATATATTCGTTGCTTGATATAAAATTCATTAGAGAACAAAGCTCATCCACCATTCCTCGTTGGGGAGGGGCTGGAATATTTGGAGATGCAGAAAATAATTTTCTTCATTTCCTTTGCTTTTAATCAAATATAGTTAGAAGAATATTAGTACAGAAGGCAAAGTTAGAGCTTCTGCTGAAGACAAAGTAGTCATTTGAGAACTCAATCCGCATACTACCAATTTAATTTTCTTAGTGCAAGTCCATAAATACAAACGACTAGACATTTTCCTCCTATACTCTGTTCCATTTATTTGCAGTATCTTTTTGATTGTTTCCTCAATTGAAGCTTTTGTCTCGCAATTGAAGCTTTTGTCTTGCACAGGGAAGTGGGGTTCTTAGTTTTACGAATTCAAGGAGCAATTTGGGGGATGAAATGAAATTTAAAAGAACAACGCTCCCATGAGCTTTCCGTCAATTTTTAGCTCTTCATTTGTTTTGCCGTTTGATGGACTAAAGCTGCCCAAATATAGCAAACTTAAAGGACGATAAGTGCTCAACCTGATATATAAGGACAAAGTTAGACCTTCTCTTAAAAATAAGGGATAATTTTGACTGAAACCTCGACTATAGTCCATATGAAACAGGGCTATATGTGCAAGCAACATATATTAACATTTTGGGCTATTCAGGCAATCAAGAGAACTGGGCAGTGCAAATAATATGGGCTTATGTTCTCCTGCAATGGGATGACGTCATTTTTTACGAGCTTAAAGGGCTAGTTCTTTGTGGTTGTATCTTCACTAGGATAGTTTTAATAAAATTTTTAGGATATGCATAAAAAAACACCCATTTTAGAACACAAGAGCCAAACAACCAGATATTCAGTAAACTTGGAATAGATTTTTGGCCAAAGAATTGAAACCCAGTTTCTCAAACTCCAATTTTACTAAAACACAAAATTTAAGCAATCTTCTTTAATTTTTTATCATCGATTTTTTCACAAAAAACTCAAATCTTCACCAATTTGAGATACAAACTTTAAACCACACCAAAATTAAAAACCAAATATAACATAGAACAAAAGATAGTAACTTCATAGAAACCCATATGTGTATTTTGTAATCTTTTCCAAAAACACTTGAATGGAAAATCTAGAGATAGGGAACTGATAAGCCATGGAGGAGAGCATGCAGACCTATTGTGGTAGAGAGCGATATTGGTCGAAGCCTTCGCTAGTCGAAATCCGTCACTGGTCGAAATCTCGCTGGATGTGGAGCCGTTTTTTGCTCTTGAAGAAGCTTCACTGGAGGGTTTTTCTCAATGAACTGAATAGAAAAGAAGAAAACCCCTCTTTTACTTTGACTAGTCGAATTCCTTCGCGTGTGGAGCCAATTTTTGCTATTGAAGAAGCTTCAGAGGGTTTTTGATTTGAGCTCTTTTTCTCAATGAACTGAAGAAAAGAAGAAGACCCTATTTTACTTTAATTTGAAACTGTGTAATTTTGGAATTATTTTTTAATTATAAAAGGAGCATTGGCGGGTTTAGTGAAATAATTGGACGGAAATTAAGTCCTCTTTTTTACACAGAACCGTCCCCACAGAGCCATTTTACAAAACTGTCTCCATAGAGAGATATGTGGCATCAGTTGTGATACTAATGCGTCGGTTTAGTTTTAATACTGTCTTAATAGGCTCAAGCGACTATTGCGACGGTTGTAAACCTTGCAATAGACACTCTATTGCAAGGGTTATGTAACCGTTGCTAAATAAGCGATGCAATAGGTTTATTTTCTAGTAGTGATCCTGTGAGGTTTACACCGATCATCGCAGCTTTCCGGATTTGTTCAAACAGAGGGATCTCAATTTGAGGCAGCGTAGGTGGCTTGAGTTACTAAAGGACTATGATATTACAATCCTTTATCATCTGGGCAAGGCGAATGTAGTCGCGGATGCCTTGAGAAGAAAGGCGGAGTATGGGTAGTTTGGCATTTATTTCAGCAGAGGAGAGGCCACTAGCTTTCGACATTCAGTCCTTGGCTAATAGATTTGTGAGGTTGGATATTTTAGAGCCCAGCCGGGTTCTTGCATGAGTCATTGTCCAGTCCTCACTATTGGAGCAGATCAAGGGTCATTAGTTTGATGATGGGCACGTGTTGGTTCTCAGAGAGATGGTAGTACAGGGTGGTGCCAATGAGGTTACTATCGGCAAGGATGGTGTTCTGCGACTCCAGAGTCGTATTTGTGTACCTAATGTTGATGGGCTAAGGCAAAGGATTCTACAGGAGGCACACAGTTCTCAGTATTCTATTCATCCAGGTGCTACGAAGATGTATCGCGACCGGAGGCAACATTATTGGTGGTGGCCGATGAAGAAGGACACGGTTAAGTATGTCGAGAGGTGCCTAAATTGCCAGCAGGTTAAGTATGAGCAGAAGAGGCCAGGTGGCCTACTCCAGCAGATGACTATACCTGAGTGGATGTAGGAGCGCATTACTATGGACTTCGTAGTTAGGTTGCCACAGGCCTTATGGAACTTTAATGCAGTTTGGGTCATTGTCGATAGGTTGACCAAGTCAGCACACTTCATTCCGGTTGTG